TGTGGATGCTGAAAATTGTGGATAATAGCAAACCCTATAGATCACAGGGTCTCCAGTTCCCTCTAGTGGCCAGTTCTGGGAATGACATCAGGGAAATATTTCTGGCTGAAAAAAGGATAGCTGGCTGATTATTGACCAGCGAGGTTTAAGACAAGGCGGGGGATTCAGACCAAGATCTCCTCAGGCTTAGTCCAACAGGCTAATCACTAGACCCCATGGGCTGGCAGTCTTACTTTATCACCACCCTGGACAATTTAGATTTTACCAGTTTTACCGGCCGTTTGATATCTGTTTCCTATGAATGAATCCAAAGGTAACAGCTCGTATAGCCGCCTAGAGTGGTCTATTCGTCCAGATAGGCGGGATATAAATCAAATAAATAAATAAATATTTTAAAACTTTGCATCAAAAGCCTTGAGCCAGCTGGACCGTCTCCCAGGGAGAAGGGAAGGAGAAACCACTTCTGGGTATTCCCTACCTAGAAAACCCTGGGAAGGCCATGTCAGAATCAATGGGAGGGCATGCAATTATTGATCGTTACTATTATCATCGTTATTCTTTAAAAACAAGACGCCAAAATGCGCCCCATTCCATGATGACACGTCCTCGGCGCCTGGAAATTTATAAATAAACGACGGAAGGGAACTCGAAAAGGGTGCGCGTGCATGCTCTACCTCTCGGGGTGGCCGTTGTTCACCATGTCCCGGCTCTGGAGGGACAGCTGATGAATGGTCTGGGCGTAGTCCTCCAGGGCCTGCTCCATCACCATATGGTTCTTCACCATGGCCTGGGCGATCAGCTCATCCTGGACCCAAAGAGAAAAAGAAAAAAAGAAAAGAAAAAGAACGAAGTATTGTTGTTTTGTTTAAGAAGGAGCCCAAGAATCGTAAAACCAGGAGGGAAAGGGGTGGAGAGTCTGGAGGTCCAATCTGAACCGAGACGGAGCATGCCCCGCCAGGCGCTGTTCCCACATCGGCATTCAGATCCTGAAATACGGAAAACAGAGCTCGCCCGAGCATGTGCAGACGGCCTGGGCTTCTCACGGTCAAGAAACCAGGGAGCCAATTTGGAAGGAAGTTTCAAAGGATCGACACCGTTGTGAGGATCAAGAGACGGAGAGAGGGGGGGGACACCCTCCCTGCTTTCCCCTCCACTTGCGTTTGTTCTCTCCTCAACCTACTTCCATGTATAAAATGACCCTCAATTTTTAGTCTAAAGATTTTAGACAAAAGTATAGTCTTATACACAGAAAAATACAGTAAATAAAACCCAGAAATATGTACAAGTGGTGCCTTGCTTAACGATTGCTTCGCTTAACGTGGAAATTGCTGTACAATTAGGTTTTTGCAATCGCAAAACGATGGTTTAAATGGGTTTTTTTCCACTTTGCGATGATCGGTTCCCTGCTTCGGGAACCGATTTTCGCTTTACGACGATCAGCAAACAGCTGATCGTCGGGTTTCAAAATGGCCGCCGGCTGAAGAAAATGCCTCCCCCCGCTGTTTTTAGGAAGGCTTTTTCGCTTAAGAGGCACCAGAAAATGGCCGCTGTATGGAGGATCTTTGCTGGACGAGCAGGTATTCAGCCCACTGGAATGCATTGAATGGTTTTCAATGTGTTTCAGTGGGTTTTTTATTTCGTTTGACGACGTTTTCGCTCTACAGCGATTTCGCTGGAATGAATTAACATCGTCAAGCGAGGCACCAGTCTATTGATATGTATTTCCACAATGTGTTTGCCGGAATCAGCTGCTAGGAGGAGCCAGCGCCTAGGCTAAGCTTAGTGTGTGCTAACCTCCCCCCTTTCGAGATCCTTTTGTATAAATGGCGCAAAACCCATCCAGACGACGTTCTTTTGGTGTGTGGTGGCTAAATCTGCTCCCGCCTACCCGACATTGGATGGGAGGGCGGTTTGGACCTTTAAAAATAAAAATAAAAAGCCTGCGGCGCCCTAAGACGGTGTGGCCCCATCGTGCGCGCACATGCGCACCCACCTTGGCCTTCTCCTCCGAGATCATGTGCAGCTCCTGTTCCCCCATCCAGGCCTCGGCCTCGGCCACATCGAAGTAGAGCTGCTGCGCCATCTGGGCCCGCTCCAGCCGCCGGTGGCGTTCCTCCGCCTGGTTCTGCAGCTCCTGCCACATCTCTTGCAGCGCCTCGACGCGGCCCCGAAGGTCGGCTTCCAGGCCGCTGCACGCCAGGCTCTGCCACCTTCCCAGAATGTCGTGGATGCGCGGCTGGTGCCCCTGGATCTCCTTCTGCAAGGTCTGAGCCAGGACAGGAAAAGAGCGGAGAAAAACGTTGACAGAGATTCTCGCGTCCAAGGGCCGGAACTACAAACCACCGATGGACGGATTGATTTAAACTACGTATACGGCGCCTTTCTCCTGGAGGATTCGAGGTGGCTTCCGGGATTTGAAAGAAGCAAAGTGAAAATGCCCAATAATAAATCATGACAATATTGGGGGAAAAAAGCATTTCCTTCTCCCCCCAAACTCAGCGGCCTGGGGGGAGGGGAGTCTGTTGGGCTGACCCCCTCGCCGAGTCCTCTTTCCGACGGCAGCGCGCTTTCTTGCTTTCCGGGTCGTGTCTTCAAAACCCGTACCTGATTTTTCTTGATCAGCAGTTGGACAGTGGGGAGATCTCTCCCGTGATCGGTGGAAACCGCCAGGGGCATGCGCTCCTTCACCCACAACTGCAAAACACGAAGGAAGGAAAGAAGGATTGAGGGAAGGGGGGGAAAAAAAACAGAATTTGAAAGGAAAAACCATATTCCTTATGTTTTTCATTCCTCCTCGTTTACAGGCATCTATATCCTATATCTTGCATCTTATAGGGGGGAAAAATCCACAAAGTGGTTTATCAGGGTTGGCTTTGACCATCACAGTAAACCACGGTTTAGGTTAGCCATGGTTTGTTGCCTAAGCCATGGATTTTAGAGCGAATGACCAAATCAAACAGTGATTTGTCTTTCTCATTGATGGTTTGTTTCTCTCCTACCCTTTGGCCAACTTCTATTTCAGTGCAGGCGGCTGGGGCGGGGGAAACAAGGATGTAACCACATGTCACAGTTTAAGCACAGCAGAACAAATATGTACAAATGCATATTTTTGTCTGTGTGTGGGGGGGGGGAACAAATATGTACAAATGCATATTTTTGTGTGTGTGTGTGGGGGGGTTACTTAGTATTTTCAGGCAGTGGATAAGTGAATTAGCGGATAGTGATCCCGCAGATAGGGGGATCCGACTGTAGGTAAAGGGCCCGGGGAAAATGTTCAAGTGGGGTTTCCTTGGGGCTCAAATAATATCTAGCAAATGCCACAAAATCAGCCTAGCAAGGATGTTTCGCAAGCCAAGGGAGCCACCAACGAGAAGGGACCCTCACGCCATGTCATCCATGAGATCTCAGGTCACCAGAAGCTTCCGAAGATCTGAATTTATGATGAAAATGGTGAGAAATAAGATGGATGATGCTACGGGGGCAAGGAAGAAGCCCTAGCTACCTTGGCAACGGCACGGATAGAAGTGGGCAGAGTTACTGCACATGAATGAGGTACCAGGATAAAGCTGTTGGGGTAACAGCCATCTTGCATGCACTAACACTGAGTGTAAGTGGGAGGTACAAGCCCCCATTTTCTCTTCCTGTATGTTTTTGCAAATAAGATGGATGATGCTACGGGGGCAAGGAAGAAGCCCTAGCTACCTTGGCAACGGCACGGATAGAAGTGGGCAGAGTTACTGCACATGAATGAGATACCAGGATAAAGCTGTTGGGGTAACAGCCATCTTGCATGCACTAACACTGAGTGTAAGTGGGAGGTACAAGCCCCCACTTTCTCTTCCTGTATGTTTTTGCTCCCATTATGTTGTTGATGGCCCTCCTCTTCTTCCTCTAAACATGCTCCAAATAGCAAGCATGCAGGGCTTCCTGTACACTGGAGACGCCATTTCCTCTTTCTCATCCTTCTGAATGTAACTAACAGATGGTAACTGTAAGTAAAGATACCTCTTTTTTCATTCTTTAAATGCTTCTAGAGTGGTTTTGTCATACAAAGTGCTAGTCTGCGTGCAAAACCAGGGAGGACGTTACTGAGGCTGGTCTGGTCACCCCCATGTTGTTGTTGTTGTTTTCTTATCTTATACTAAAAAGAATAACAGAGTTCCTAGAAACTACCTTTAAACAAAACCAAACTTCCCCAATAAACACTGCCCTGACAGCCTCCTCGTTGTCCAATGCCTCCCAGGACTTACGATTTCGTCCTCCAGGTCTCGATTGAACTGGTGTTCCTCTTTCGAGGCCAGCAGCTTCTGGCAGCGCTCCCGCAGCGGGGCCCGGAGCTCGGCGAATTTGTCTTCCACCGTCCGCAGCTTGCCGTCCACCTCCACCGTATTGGAGTCCTCTGGGCTGAGGGCCAGGGCCTGGCCTTTGAGACCCTCCACCTCCTTCTCCCGCACATCCATCTGGTTCTCCAGCATCTGACAGGGAGGGGGAGAGAGAGAGAGGAAAAGATGAAGCTTAAGGGAAAGGGGGAAGAAGCACGAGAAAACCTGACAAACTTTAAATGCTTTTCAAAACAAAAATTCTTCATTGACACAGGCTTCTCCTGATGGGTAATCATGAGGGTGTCGCAATAATTAAAAACGAGAAGGATCCTGGAATTGTGGTCGATCAAAAGTGGAATACGAGCCCACCGTGAGAGGGGGCTGCAAAAAAGGCCAATGCGATTCCAGGCTGCATGAACAGAAGTCTAGTCTCTAAATCCCAGGAGGGACTCGTTCCCCTCTATTCGGCACTGGTTAGGCCTCCTCTTGAGCCCTGCGTGTCCAGTTCTGGACATCACACGTCAAGGAGGATGCGGAGAAAATGGCGCAACGAGGAAGCCAACGAGGAGGATCAGGGGGCTGGAAACCAAGCCCTAGGAAGAAAGAGTGAAAGAACTGAGCAGGTTTCGCCTGGAGAAAAGAAGAAGGAGGGAAGATCTGTCCTCAATCCTCCCAGAGTGCAGGACACGCTGCCATGGGGCCAAGGTACAAGACGACGATTTTGATCGAATAACAGGAAAAACTTCTCAACTGTTAGAGCAGCACAACGAGGCAACCGAGTAATTCGGCAGGTGGAGAGAGCTGGTTTCTAAACTCACACTCACTAGAAGCTAAACGCTTCTCTTACATTTAGCTTCGACAACGATTCCTTTTTCCACACCTGTGCTCATCTGCTTCACTAAAACTGGAAGCATTTGTCACTCCCAATCATCATTAAATGATTCCGAACCATGGTTAAGATCATCCTCATGTACTTTTCTGTACTTTTTTCCTTTCTATTATACAGTCGTGCCTCGCTTTACTATTGGCCCGCATTACGATGAAACCGCATTACGACGATCTTTTTGAGATCGCAATTGCGATTGCAAAATGGTCTAAATGGGTTTTTTTCACTTTGCGATGATCGGTTCCCTGCTTCGGGAACTGATTCTTCACAAAACGACGATTTTAAAACAGCTGATCGGCGGGTTCAAAATGACCACTGGGTAAACAAAATGGCTCCCTGCTGTTTTCTGGGACGGATTCCTCGCAAGACAGGCAGCGAAAATGGCTGCCCTAGGGAGGATCTTAGCTGGACGGTGAGTTTTGACCCCACTGGAACGCAATGAAGGGGTTTCAATGCGTTTCAATGGGTTTTTTTTCCACTTTACGATGTTTTCGCTTAACGGCGATATTCCTGGAACGGATTATCACCGTTAAGCGAGGCACCACTGTATTTCACATGATTTCTACCTCCTTTAGTGGCCAGTTCTGGTAATGACACCATGGAAATATGTATTTCTATAGCAAACTCTATCCATAGCATGGTCTCTGGTTCCCTCTAGTGGCCAGTTCATGGAAATACATAAGTCTTGGATTTTTTTCTTTTATTATTTCCAGACTGGAAATATGAAAAATGGCCAGTTCATGGAAATACATAAGTCTTGGATTTTTTTTCTTTTAATATTTCCAGACTGGAAATAAGGAAAACCGCGGATACCGATCCCGTGGATACAGGGGTTCCTCCTAATGTATCTGCCTACTGAGGCTATATACTCCATGCATCCCATGTAGAGGGCCGAGCAATTCCCACTCTCGTCTTTCTCCTCTTTGATGTGACCCGGAGGATGGAAATACATAAGTCTTGGATTTTTTTTCTTTTAATATTTCCAGACTGGAAATAAGGAAAACCGCGGATACCGATCCCGTGGATACAGGGGTTCCTCCTAATGTATCTGCCTACTGAGGCTATATACTCCATGCATCCCATGTAGAGGGCCGAGCAATTCCCACTCTCGTCTTTCTCCTCTTTGATGTGACCCGGAGGTGCTGCGGGGCATACCTACAACCTATTGCAATTCCAAGATTTTGTTCTTTTCCACGTTCTGCTCTGCCACTGAACTACGCTGAGCGCTTCCTTTGCAAAAAAAAAGCCCTCCCCAGTCCCCAAGTGATGCACACACACACACCCCGGTTACCTGTTGTTTCTTGAGCAAAATATTGACGCTGGTCAGGTCTTTCCCGTAGTCGTCCGAGTGCAGCTGGGCTTCAAGGCCGCTCAGCCAGGCCTCCAAAGCCGAGCAGCTCTGGGTGAAGAGTTCGGCGCGGTTGGCGTCGAAAAGGCACCGGGCTTTGCTCTGGGTGCGGGATTCCAGTTCCTCCCAGAGGGTCTGCAAGCCGTCCAGTTTTTCCCGCACCACAGGTTTCAGCTCCGGCTTTTCGGCGACCAGTTGTTCCCCCTCCTGCCAGGAACGAAACACAAGGGGGTCAGCCGGAGAAGCAGAGCGGGTGCATTGGTGGCCTTGAGCGAAAAGGATCAACGCCAGGCTAGAATAGCCCGAATCTTCTTGCGTAGCTACGTCAACGGCGTAACTTCCAGAGGCAAACGGCCCCAAGTTAAGTTGTCCCAGTAGACGTCCCCAGTCGCACGTCACGCCGTACAACCTGGGGGCCATTGGCCTCCAAACCTTTACGCCATTTGCAAAAGGATCGGGGCCCAATATATCTAGTAGACAAACACCCTAAAACTCAAATTTTACAAACGGTGTCCCAGAATCGGTGAAATAAACGCGAGGCCTACAACCAAAGGAAGCAGGATCTGAAGGCCAACCCCTTCGAGGACCGACCCCCTAAAAGAAGCCGCAGGCTTGTGTTTACAAGCACTGAGAAAAACTGTCAAGGACAGGAGGATTTGGGAGACTGCCGATTCATGGGGTCGCCCTAAGCCGGAAGTGACTTGGCAGGACGTTAACAAGTGTCTACCTTCAACCTTATTAAATGAAGCAGGAATCACAGTGAAGAACGCAGCGACTCTGAGCAGTGTTCCTTTTTAAAAAAAAACTAGTGAAGAAGCCAGAACTGCTGCCCCAAAGGTTCAAGCGGCAAGTCCTTATGAAGAAATACATTCAGAAAAAAAAGAAAAGAAAACCTTCTATCGGCACGTTTGTCTTTCAGGACAGTAGGCAAAACATTCCAGTCCCTTGAGATTCAAGAGCCACGTCAAAGTTTTATTTTTTTAAAAAAAAGTTTAAAAATGAAGGGGGGAGAGAACAAGAGGGAGGCGTGTCTCGAACCCACCTCCCGGTTTCCACCCACCTTCTGTATTTTGTCCAGCCAGCCCTTGTTGGAGGCCAGCTCGGCCATGAAGGCCTGGTGCTTCTGCCACTTGGTGTGGAGGTTGCGGGCTTCGTCGTACGACATGTCCTGCGCGGACAGCATCTTCTCATTGATCCACAGGGTGAGCTGAAGGGAGAAGAGGCAAGAGGAGATTATCTCTGCGTGAGTGTGGGAGGAGGAAAAAGGACAAAAGCAAAGAATCATCGCTATCCTGTCCATCGGATGCAGCTCCCGGGGCTTTTTTCGGCTGTTATCTCCGATCGGTGAATGAAGAGAGGAGCGTACCGAAAGCTGTTTAAACTTTAAATATTTGGCAGAGAACACAGCAGTCCCACTGCAGGCCCCAAAGCGGACATGCTTAAATACATCGATCCCGCTTTAAAGCTCCTCACGTTCCACTCGACTGGAGCCAAGCTGTGCAGGATTTCACCCCATTCAAAACCTGCAACGCATTCTGTCCGTCTCTGGTTTGCGAAGAAGCAACTGCACTGGGTGAGACCCGACGGGTTGGGTCTCCTCTATGAAATGCTCCGTGTGGGTTGAGCACTTTCCATGGCCCCCCAAGTATCCTTTCTCCCCGATGAACTGGGCCCCCCTCACCTCTTGACAGTCTTGAAGGAAGTGCTGCAGCTCGCGATTGTCCCGCAGCCGCGCCAGGAGATCCTTCGCCGCTTCTTGGTTTTTCCTGTGCCTGAAAGCGGAGGTGGGGGGGTGGGGGTCAGGTGGGCCAGAAGACCATCAGACGAGACGGGCTCGATGGCACGCCCCACGGGGATCATTCCACGCAGGAAAGGTGGCTGCATATTCCACCCGTTCCCCCCCATCCACAGAAACCTTCCCAGGATCGCTAAATGACGTGCAAGACAGAAAGAGCCGATCGAATCACTGCACAGGATTAGGTTTGCAAATCCCGCTCAGTTTTTAACCCAAACGATCGGCCTGCAAATATTATACGTGTCTGTCGTATTTTGATTCGCGTCCCTAACGTGGCTGATCTGCCGTCATGATGATAAACTTAAAATTCAGAGGGGTAGGGGGAACATCAAAATTCAAGGATCCCATCTTACCACGGGGGAATGCCGAGGCTAAAAAAACGTTCACCCAGCCCGGCCCAAGAGTTCTTAAAGGGCTAAAACCTGCTGTACTACTTGGCAGGGATGTTGGCTAATCTTTGGGCCTGAGTCCCAGATTCGAGTCTCTTGGTACCAATTCCCGAATCCCAAACCTCAAGTCGAAGTTCATATTAAAAATAATCATTTTTTAAAAAGTTAAATTTGATAGCGGATCCCGCCACTGGAGAATCCATCCTTGCTACCCGGACAGATTCCTTCAAACCCAGACGAGTCCAAACTCCGTCGGCGAGGCTTCACCACATGTCATCCCCGGAACGACGTCACTCACCGGCTGTCGATGGAGTTGACTTTCTCCCGGACCTTGTCCGCGTGGAAGGCGTCCTCCGTGATCAGCTTCCGCCCGGCGTCTACCAGCCCTTTGATCCTCTCCCCATTGGCCTCCATAGTGGTCATGAAATCCTCGTGCTTCTTGATGGCGGCCTCCGCAGCCTGGAGGGAACTGGGCATGCTGGTGTGCGTCAAAACGTATTCCTAGGAGGAAAAAAAAGGACAAGGGCTCTCTGTTTGCCGAGCGAGACGTCGGCGAGTTCGAATCCCCACCACCCCCGGGGCCTCCTTGACAGGGGGCTGGTGGACTTGGATGTTGCACGGGGTCCGGCGAGTTCGAATCCCCACCACCCCCGGGCCTCCTTGACAGGGGGCTGGTGGACTCGGATGATGCACGGGGTCTCCCTTCCTGCTCTGCAGTTTGAAGATGATCCCTCCAGGGCTGGCACGGAGGGGATTAAAAACCTCATCGGCCAGGTCCCTTCCTGCTCTGCCGTTCGAAGATGATCCCCCCAGGGCTGGCGCGGAGGGGATTAAAAACCTCACTGGCCAGCCCCTTTCTGTCCTGTGTGCGAAATGCTTTCCGTTCTAATTGGGCCTCGAGGCTTCGCCTGGGTCCGACGGCCTCACCCCCCAACCGGCGTCCCGTCCCTCCGGGCCCGTTTACCTGGTTACTCAGCACCCCTTCCACCTGCTTGGTGTCCCGTAGGAAGATCTGGAAGCCGTAGGCCCTCGAGAGCAGCTGGTGGCGGTTCTCCCACATCTGGCCGAGCTCCGTCCAGCCGGTGTCGAGGGCCTGGAGGCGCTGGTGGAGGAACATGTGCTGGGCGTCCGTGTGGCCCCGGGTCACCTCCTCGCCCATGGCCCGCAGGCGCCGGTAGTCGTCCCGGTAGTGCTCGACCTCGTTCCGGATGGTCTCGTGCTGGCTCAGGAGGCGCTCGGCCTCGGGCAGCGTGGCGGGGACGTCCTCCGAGGCCACGGCCGTCTGGGTCCGCAGCAGCCACGCCTGGAAGTCGTCCAGGTCCCGCAGGAAGCCCTGCAGCTTGCTGGCTTCGCCCAGAGACTCCTCCCGGCGCCGCATGGTCTCCCGCAGCGCCTCCCAGGTCCCGTCAATGTCGGCGAGGCGGTCCCGGAGGGCGTCCGCCTGCTCTGGGTGCTGTTCCGCCAGCCGGGCCGCCTCCTCCTGCAGGTCTCGGACTTTCCCCTGAATGGCCGCCAGGTCCCGCTCCATGCCCGCCAGCTTGCGCTGCAGCGCCATCACCCCGGCCAGGTCGTTCCCCAAGCTCTGCGTCGACTCGATCACCTTCGTCTTCTCTCGCATCCAGCCCTTGGTCTCATTGCACTCCAGGTAGTAGTTCTGGATGCTGAGCGCCGAGGTCAGGGCCTCCTTCTTCCGGCTGGCCAGGGCCTGGAACTGCTGCCACCTACGGACGGGGAAAGAGAGGAGACCCTCTCAATCTCCCACAGACCCCCGTCTGCTATTTTTTAAATCAAGTTCAACAAGAATCCACAGCATGGTCTCTGGCTCCCATACACCCTGAAAATACCTACTTCTAACTTTTTTTCTTTTAATACACTTGTGCCTCACTAGTCGATGATAATCCATTCCACTGAAATTGCTGTTTAGCGAAATCATCATCTAGCGAAAAGCATTTCCCCATTGGAATGCATTGAAACCTTTAGGGTCATGATCATGCAGGTCCTTAGAATGACATATTTCATGTATTTATGGTTCATCTGTAGTTCAGATGCTGGTCACTGACTGCAAATCTTGCCCGTTGAATCCTTCCACCCCTTCCCCCACATCCTTCCCCCCCCCCAAAGCGCAGCTGTGGGGCACCCACCTGGTGTTGAGCTCCTCCCGAGTAGCCTGGATGCTCTCCTTGTTCCTGTGATCGGTGCCCAAGAGCCGGCTGGCGATCTCGTTCACCGCCGCGATGCGGGAGGCCAGGTTGTTCATCTCCGGCTCCAGAGTCTCAAACCTGAGAGGCGCATTTAAGAGGAGAGTTAGGGAGAGAGAGAGGCTGCGGATCCTTCTCGGTGATTCAAAAACTAAAGAAATAAACAAAAACACCCCGGAAATTTGCATCGTGAAAGTCAGGAAATGGGTTTGTGATCCTCAGCTGAACGAGACCAATAGAAAACAAGTCCGGTCGCACTCTAAGAATTTTCTGGGAAGCACCAGTTCTGCCTTCTCTTGACACCCAAATGTATTACACAGCAGGGACCCCCAGATCCATCACAACCCTCCCTGTGGATGGTGAGAACTGTGGATATTAGCAAACGCTATCTAACGCATAGAGTCTGGCCCCCTCTTGTGGCCGGTTCTGGTAACGACACAGTGGAAATGTATTTCTCTAGTGAATGCTATCCATTCCATAACATGGTCTCTGTCTCCCTCTAGTGGCCAGTTCTGGCAATTTCGCCCTTGGAAATATACATATATTTCTAGGATTTTTCTTTTAATATTTTCAGACCGTGGATCAGTGAATCAGCAGATGCCGATCCAACCGTTCAGGTGGCGGCGGGAAGGACAGGGAGGTTATACCGGGCTGACCCACTGACCTCTGCTGAACCACTTCCAGGTCCTCCAACTTCTCCGGCACGTCCATGGTCTCGATCCAGTACTCCCTCTCGCCGATCCAGAGGCCGCAGGCGTCGGCCTCGCTGAACATCTGATAGAGGTTGAGGGCGTCCTGCAGAGCCTGCTTGCGGTGCTCCGCCAGGGTCACCAGCTCCTCGTAGCGCTGCTCGAGCGCCGGCAAACGCCCGTCCACCTCGGGGGAATGGGCAAAGGCCGGCGGCAGGCTGCGCGCCTGCTCGTGCAGGGCGTCCAGGGCCGGGCGGTGGTTGTGGATCTCCTCCTCCACGTCCTTGTGCTTCTTCACGAGGCTCTGGGTCGAATATTCGTCGTGGCCGACCTCCGAGCTGGAGACCAAGCGGAGGGCGTCCAGCAACCAGGCCTCCATGTCGTTGGCGTCCGCCTGGAACTGATAGAGGTTCGAGGCCTGGAGGAGACGCCGCTCCCGCCCGCTCGACAGGGCCTCCAGCTGCTCCCACTGCTCCTCGATGTCCCGGATCCGCTCGGCCACCTCGGCGGCCCCAAAGTGGCCTTCGGCGACCAGCTGGCGGCCTTCAGCGATGCTCTGCTGGAGAGGGCCGGCCCGGCCGCTCATCTCGTCCCGGAAGGCGTTGTGCTTGCTGGTGAGACGCAGGGCGCTGGTCAAGTCTTTGCCGAAGTCGTCGGAGGACAGGATCCGGCTCTGCTCCCGGATCCAGGCCTCCTCCTCGCCCATGTCCCAGAAGAACTTCCACAAGCGGCGCGATTCCTCCAGTTTGGCCCGCCGCTGGGCCGCCAGGGCCACCAGTTCCCGATAGCACCGGTCCAGCGTGGCCAATCGGTCTTGGACCAAACGGGGGTCACAGGGTTTGTATCCTGCCAGCATCAAGACCAACGTTAGGAGACACCCCCCTCGCTTGCTGCCTTTCAAACGATGCTAAGGCTTTAACCCTCCTTGCCCCCAATCTTCGTGAAAACAAAAGTACAGTCGTGCCTCGCTTTACAATTGCCCCGCATTACGATGAAACCACATTACGACATTTTTGCAATCGCTGCACGGTGAGTTTCCAGCCATTTCAATGGGCTTTTTATTTTCACATTACGTTGTTTTCGTTCTACAGCGATTAACGTCGTAATGCGAGGCACCACTGTAATGGAAAGAGGCTCAGACTGAGACCTCACAGCATGCCGTAGGTTGAGAGAACCATCGTTTAGAACCCAAACCAGAGGACCAATGTCTGGCAAAATGCAGGAAAAGCATGATTTAGGTCACAGTAGAGAATGCTGGTACTGTCCGAGGCCAGAGGACGGATGGTCATAAGCCCAGTTTGTTGATTCACACAACACAACTACAGTAGGAAACTTCCCCCCCCCATATTCACGGAGGATCCCCCTTCCCCGGATGCTGAAAAATGCAGATGATAACAAAAGCTTTCAATGGCCAATGCTACACATAGCGTGGCCTCCAGCTCCCTTTAATGGCCGCTTCTGGTACCCTCACGTTCAGAAATACGTATTTCTAGCATTTTTCCTTTAATATTTTTAATATTTTCAGACAGTGGATAAGTGAAGCCGTGGATACCGATCCTGCAGATAAGGGGGGGATCCCACTGTACTTTATCAATAATGGAGCAGAACGGTTCAAGCCTGCCCAATGCAATTCGGGTCTAGAGGGGCGGGGTAGAAATCCAATAAAACAAATAAATAAATAGCTTTACACTCAGGAGGGCCCTCAACGTGGAAAGGGGCTCTTACCCTCTCCGGACGAGGCAAAGCGCTGGGCGGCCACGCTGATGGCCTTCACCCGCTCGGCCTGGATGGCGATGTCGGCCTCCACCAGCGCATGGATCTGGAGCAGGTCCTCCACCCCGTGTAAATGCTTCCCGAAGTCCTGAGACTGGAGCCGGCCCTGGGAGGAAAGGACCGCAGGGGATGAGCGATGAGTCGAGTAGAGTCCGGACCGCCGTACTGCAGTTTAACCACCGGGCCACTGTAATGAGCTACCTAATGAAACATGGGCCAAGTTCTTGCGGCTTCGCCTAGTAAACGGCTGTAATCGGCTTCGGTCCAAGCTCCTCTCAAAGACCGCCACGTCTCTCCCATCACGATGGAGGACCTGCTCAGGTCGGAAGACCATCGGGAGAGGCCCTTCTCTCACCATTTTCACTGACGCATTTGATGGGGGACACAGGAGAGGGCCTTCTCAGTGGCTGCTCTCAGCCTGCGGAACTCCCTGCCACTGGAGGCCAGCCTGGCCCCAATCTATGCTCTCTTTCCGCAAGCAGGCAGAGAGACCGTTCCCTTCCAGCAAGTTTTCCCTCTCTGACCGCTGGCTGCCTGAGTGGGTTTGTGCCTTACTCCTCTGAATGCTTTTGGAGTCACTTATGTTTACTTTTTGTTTTTTTTTAAAGGAGGTATCTGTCAGATCCTTTTAAGCTTTTCTATACTTACTGTTTTTAGCTTTAAATATTCTCTTTTAAACGATTTAAGCCGCCTTGGATCTGTTCTTGTTGTTTTTAAGGAGAAAGGAGAAGTATATATATATA